TTCAGCTATCTCTTCCCCACAGCTTCTCCTCACTCCTTCATGTGCTTCCTTGGACATGGAAAGGGGTTGTAGTTCAAAGGTAAATGTGCATGCAGTTGGCATTCAAAAGCTTAGACTGATGTCTGTGTAGGCCAGTATTTCTCAAACTTGGCAATTTTAAGACACGTGGACTTCAACTCCCAGAATTCCCCAGCCAGCACACCTTAAAGTTGCCCAGTTTGAGAAACACTGGGGTAGACAGTATTGAGGAGGTGAGCTAATAATGAACCCGTCCTCCCAATGATGTTACTGCACTTCTGCTGCTGCCTTAACATCCCCACCCATTGCACAATGCTGATGGCAAACCTGCAATAAGGTTTTGAAAACACTCTGATTACTGGCTGCCTTCAGAAAACCAACTTTTTATTCCTCCTGCTCTTGTTTCAGGGCTGGATGTAATGTATATTTCAGGACATTTCTTAGTGTCTATGAACAATCTTTCCCCACTGAAGAATGCCTGTTGTGCCCCCATTTCCCAGCTCATGACTCTTTCCCCAGCCCAACGAGAAGCTCTAAAATGAAGTTTTGGTCACTTACAAGGAAGCTGACAAGGCTCAGTTTGAACTAACACCCTCCATAGGGTTTGCTGATAGTGTCATGGTCAAAGGAAGGGTTTGAGTTTCTTTCCATTTGGTAATCGTTTCAGAACTCAATCCTTCTTTGCAACTAGTCCCTTAGCAATATGTCACAAAGAATGCTTTTGTAAACCACTGACATATGTACACCGATTACTGTGGCTCAATATTGACAAAGGGTGGTTAGGTGTGGGGAACATTAGGAATCATTTCACTTCTTTTTATAAAGGATGGGTCGCTTGCTATTTCACAAAGCATTGGAAGGTGATGGTGGGGATGAACCTGACGATAGGCAAGTCAGAAACAGAAAGTGGGTGCTGACTGGTTTGCATTCTCTGCATTCAGCTATCGGTTAGCTAGAGCTGAAGTCAGGGTTGCTTGAAAGTGCTACCTTGTACGCATAGAGACAATACCATGTTGTGAATACCTTTATTTGTTTATTTGTCACATTTATATAGCTGCCGATCTCACACAAAGTGACTATATCTATATTTATATCTCTATCCATCTATATTGGCAATGGGATGAACAAAATAGAGAAAATACAGGCTATATTTGAAGTATGTTGAGAATTATTAGCAGATGGAAAGGATGGCAGTCTGGCAGAGTGCATTGCGACTTGGTATAAGGCATGATCTTATGATCCCTGGAGATCAACTGTTAGCAAATTCCAAGAAAAAGGAGCAGTGGAAAAGAAGCAACAAAGTTGAGCAAGGATTTTCTGGGCTGTAACAAAAACAGCTGAATCAAAAAGTAAGAAGGAAAGTAATGAATTCCCTGATCCATCAGAATAGAGTCTGTATTAATATGACTAAACAGCAGTAAATGGAGTGGACTTGCAATGATCATTCCCTGTTCTAAAAATCATATAACAAAAGGTATATTTATGAAAGGTATCTCTAGATAAGAGTGTACATTTCAGAAAGCTGCATACAAACAAATCTGTAAGGGAGGTATTTGCCTTAAAAATGTATATTAGAGAAAATGCTTCGTATATTACGGAATGTAACACATGACATTTTCCAGCTTTTTATTATTCATCTAAAGATGGATAGAATAGAATATTTTAGCACCTATCACAGAGATATGGACTACTTTAGACTGATCTACCCATCTCTGCAGTATAGCTATGTAAGAAATATACTTCACAGCGGCTTCCGTTGTTTTTCATGTACATATATATTCTCAGAAAGAAGTCCATACGAACTCCTTATTCAAACTGGAGTCAAAATAATTGAGCAGCACCTAATGTGAAGTTCTTAGATTACTAGATCATCTTCCATGTTGCTAAATGGGAAGAAACATGGATGATGCTCTTGGCTTTCTCACAAACTTGTGGCTTTCCTCTACAGTGTCATATACGCCTCATCCTTTATGTCTGATTCCTGATGCTTTACTTTTCCAAGCATTCCTCATTCTACCCTCCCCCTGTATTAGTTGAAATCTCTCTAAACCAACACCTGTGATCTGCTAAATTCATCATCCAATATTGCAGCTTGTAGTGTAAGAACAAAAGCAGGCTCAGAGGAGCGATCAAAAGAAATCAAAAGCGGTTTTTAAGCGTTTTAAATTTGTGTCATTGGTGGGTTTTTTTAATTCTTTCACAGTTTCTATGTCATGCCTATAGCTCAGCTGGGGGTGATTTTTGTTTTGTTTTGTTTTGCAACAGAACAAAAAAAGGACAGTTGGGGTTGCAACAGCATTATCTTTTTGTAGAAAAGCTGCTATTAACAGATTGTGGCAGAAAGTGAGCAGTGTATTGGAGGTGGAAATGCGACTTTCTTCCTTCTTGGTATTGCTTTGCAAACTGGGGAGAAAAGAGGGAGGGCATTAGAAAGGGAAAAGGAAGTAGCCAGACTTGCAGTCATTTGTTAGGATTGTTAGGGATGATGTAGCAGTTCCAGTAAGGTAGAACTTTGGGGCAGAGATCCAGGTCTCTTCCATCAGCATTAAGACTTCCAAATGCAGAAGCATTAGTTCTGAAGCCGGTAAAATGTCATATGTGGCTATTTTAAAGGAGTGGTTGCAGGGGAAGGAATAAATCCAGGATTTCAAATTACTTCATTATTAGCATGATTTACATAACAATACTCCCCCTAGAGCATTGGAAACAATGGCGCTAACCCAATAGTTCCAGAATGGGCTTAAGAAGGATTACTTTCTGGAAGATTCCAGATCAAGTCTGCAAATTAAAGGACACGGATAGGTATGTGGAGGGGGAAAGTGATTTTGCCTCCCTCCCAACTCAAAGACCTAGAACAATAGCAAAAAATAAATCACTAAAACCTACAAGAAAGCTAATGTAAATTCCCATAATCATATTTCAGATAACTCAGTAAAGGGATAAGTGTCATATTAAGCTCCAGACAAAGAATACTAGGGTAGGGAATAAAAAGGCCATGTGCTTTAACTCCTTCCCCAGCAGCACTGTTTCTTACATCTCCATCTTCAGATCTTCATGTGTCGGGTGAAAGATCTGAGGGGGAGCATGTTGCTAAATTCATTTGTCTGTCCACGCCTCAGATCATACAGATGAGCTTATGTCCTTTCAGCTGAATGTGAATAGGTTTCCTCCAATTTTCCATCCAACCAATGAAGGTTTGAGGTGGAGTCAGCACAGATTTGCAGTCTTGTTCCTTTCCATTAATTCTTTGAATCATTATTTCCTGCAAAGGGCTCCAGTGTTTTGACTGATTCCAAATACATGAACATTATCTATTAAAAATAGTACTTACCAGTTGATGATCCCTTGGACCATAGGCTTTTTCTGTAAAGGAATAAGCCTTACATAAAACACCATGACACTGAATGAAAATACTTGGTTGAAAGCATCTACATGCTTTATTCATAAGGTGAAAGTGGGCTTTGTATGTATGAGTTTCCTTTCTCACTCCTTCCTTCCCCCCCCCCCCCTTGTCTGTTACCTTTCTTGCTTCAGTGGTAACAAAGTAATGAAAGAGGGAGAACATAGTTCAGTCGACGAACATGAATAAGGTTGAACATTCCCTTCTGTAACTCCCATTAAAAAGGCAGTTTATGGGAGAGATCTCTGCTGAGACCTTGGAGAGCTACTGACACTTCCATTGTTTCCATCCCCAACACTCCAAAGCAGTTCAAAGCCAAATGTGATAATCTTCCATTCTACCAACCTGGAAACTAGGAGAATATGCAGAAATAGCCCTAAACCAATCTGCTCTCACCAGCTAACTAGGAGCAGAATGAAAATGACAGCCCTCACTCAGCATCCCATCACCTGGGCTGCTGCAACCATTGGAAATAATCTTCCTCCCCACACAGTATAAAATGGAAATATAATAAATTGCCAGCCCCACTATCCAAATTTTCATGCATGATGTGTGCATTTAAGTCAGAAAATCTTAGCAAGGACCAAGAGGAAGAATGCCAAAACTGCCAAGCCACGTCTCCTCCTTAATAGCTCCTGCAAGCTATAACAGGATTGGCATTTTTCTCAACAGTTGTCATCTGCAATAACTAGAAAGGGGCTACTCTAAACCTGTTTGGTTTAGGTTGCCTTGAGTTCAAGAACTTATGGGATGAGACAAGGGTTCCTATCCATGGGAGAACAGAAATTCTATCACGGAGTCGTTAGTACTCTCTGAGCTTGGTTGGTTGCTTGCAGATGTTTCATTACCCAACCAGGTAACATGATCAGTGCTAGTGAGTGTGGGGTTTGCTCCCTGTTTATATACAGTTATATACAATTCTACCATTAAGAAAGAGACAGTTTTGCTCCATTTTCAAATCAACTGCAGCAGAGTCTAAACCAGGGTTCCCCAAGGGTCAATGGGACTATCTAAGAGGTTGATGTTATTATTATTTGTAGGACTATTAAAGCAGTATTTATTAAATTATTTTCAGATAACTAATGTTGGGGGGGGGTCAATGAACAACCTGAAACTTCATGAAGAGGTTGATGAGCTGAAGAGTTTGGAGACCCCTGGTCTAAACAAACTAATTCAGATCACAAAGTCAGCCAGTGTATGAGCATACAAGTCCAGAACTGGTTTCCTGGTATGAAGTGCTGCTAAAATTCTGATGTTTCCAAGGCTGAGAATGCTGTTTAAAAAGTTCAAATGTGTTTATTCAGCTGTGTGGTTGGATCAAACTTACTCTGCAGTCTTTTGCACATACTTGTTGTGAGTTACAAACACTAGTCAGACTTTTGCAATTCACTCCAGAGACCTGGCAGACTGACAGTCTTTCATTCTCAACTCTGCAAAGGAGACCTGGATAGTTATATCCAACAGATTGCCTGCTTCCCTTCTAAGTCCTCTTGATTTTTAACCCTCCCCTTTTTCAGCATCATTGAAGATCACTGAGATCCTAACCACATTCCTCCCTATTTCCTGTTTGTTTACTGCCTATGTGGCTGCCATTCCTTGTTTAGTAGCATCGTTGTCAATATACTTTGCTGTTTAATTGATTTCAACAGAATTATAAATCTGTGACCCAAGGACAGACCAATGAGAGTTTATAGTTTGTGTAGGAGTGCTACTCAGAAATAAGTGCTACTGAAATCAGTAGAATTTATTTTTGAATGTGTACAATTATTTTAAACTGTGGAATATTATAGCTTTGAATTTATTTTAAAAGATTATTTTCTTGGTATGCTCAAAAAGAAAAAGAAGAAAGAAAGTCAGGGCTCATGCTAATTTTGATTGAATACATATGCAATAATCATATTGATATTTTAACATATCAAAATGATAACTTAGTAACAAACAGGACACAATAAAGCAATCTCTTTAAACAAAGTTCCTATTTATCTGTCATTTTCATTCCACCCTGCAGAAAGCACACACAAATAATTCAAGGAATAATTTTAGTCAGAAAATGACTGGTTCAGTTTATCTTACATTTTATCTTCTACAACTGAAAAACACATAGAACCAGAAGTTTTTAAAACTGCATTAAGTAATATGGATAATTACAAGTTAGAATGATCCATGACTTTAGCTTGAAAAGTAGGCATACAAAAATAATTGGCCTTTAAAACTCATTAGTCAGTTTTGTTCCAATAATTGCATTTGCATATTTTGTACTCCATGTCTTTTTGAGCAAGAGGAGAATACTATCCCTTAATCAGCAAAGCTGAAGCCAAAAAGAAAAAGTTGTGCTGAATTCTGAATTTAGCACATACAGAAAAAAGTGAAAGCCAGAACTGGAAGGGCTTAGGACAGCATGGGAAGGAAAATATGGACATTACTGGAGAAACGTACCTTCAGACCACTTTCAAATTGTTTGGAATGAGTAGCCCCAACAGTCTAAACATGGCATAGTGTCAGCTAGAGGGGGCATTCTTAGTTTTGTATTATACCTAATGATTCAGAAAAGTTTGATAACAATCTTCTTAAGTATAAAAACATGGGCAGTCTTAACAGCCTGTGTGCGCACGTATACAAAAACTTAAGGGAACATGATCAAAGGTAGGAAGGGAATTTCTGGCATTCTTCTCAAAACAACATCATCTCTGATCTTAGTCCAACCAACATAGCATCACAAGCTGGTTTCTCAAGTAAGGGGTGACTGGTGTGGAGCTCACTTTATTACTTCAGATTCTTCTAAGACAGAGTGGACAACATTTCTATCTGGGAGTCATATTTTATTTGTTCCATTGTTTACTTTTGCTTTTGCAGGTGGGATTTTTAAAGTGCAGAGTAGATGCTTTAAGATTTGTAGAAGCTTAACCCAACGCTCTGCATATTTGTTGGGGGGGGGGGAAAGAGCAGAGAATTACCCACTTGAAAAGACACAGTTTTGCTTCTGAATTTCACTCACGTGATCCACGGGCTCTCTGTGGACTATAAAATGTGAGTTATGTGCAGACCATGGACTGCTGGTTTCCCACTGCTATTCCAAAGCACGAAGCAGGTCTGTGAGTTCTGGAGAAAGGATAGAATATTCTGCTTCTGGAGATGGAATATTTTGTACATACCTGAATTATTTACTTATTTACAAGTAGTTACTTATTTGATTGACATGCTGACTTTCTGTTTAGAAAAACCAGTTGGGGTAGATTGCAATTGCAAAAATACAAAGGTAGATTGCAGTTTGCAAAAATACGAAGTGCAATTTAAAAAATAAAAACAGCAAGATGAAATTATAAATATTGATTTATTGGAATTACTTATATCCTGCTTTTCAGAGTAACAACCCTCTCAAAGTAGCCTTCAAGCAATAGAAGTAATTGCAAATGAAAATAAATATATAAAATAAATGAATCCTCATAATTACTGACAGAAATTTATTTTATCCTCCTGCTACTGAATACCATCCGAAAGGTTGCAATGTTAAATCACCGAGGCCATCAGTTGTCCCATAAATATTCTAACCCTAAACTCAGCATACAAGTGCCTTTGACTAAAGTCCTAAACACATTGAACTTTGTTTGGGAATCTGCTAAAGAGTAATAAAAATAGTACAGTGGACTTCTATATTAGGCAAAAACTCTTGTCCTTGTTGCTGATGAACTAGTAATAACAGTTCTTCTCATCTTAAATCACTTTGACAAAGGATAATAGGTAAATGAATTACAATCTCGCTGGTAAATATTATTTATATTATCTCAAGGACCATAAAACACATTCCAGTTTGGTTTTAGTTCTAGTTGTTTGGTACACCCTAGAACTTCTTTCTTTACATTTACCACGTCACTGTTTTTGACCATGTCCCAATTCTTGCAGTGGCTGAGCTTGAAAAAAAATCTGCCAGCCTCTTCTATAGAGAATGAATAAACTTTTAAAAAAATCTGTTTCAGATATAATCCCCATGAAGCAGGAAATATATTTCCATCTGATATAAAATTCCAGAGCTTTTAAGGATTCCAACAGAGTATATGCTTCAGTAATTTGAGTTCCTTTATTAATAAAGCTGCTGATAATACAAGCAGCAGTTCAAAAGGAACTTGCCTTTTTAGCAATCGCTAAGTTAAAAGCATCCTATAAAAGTGTTACAGGTATGGAATCTATAAGCAGACTACAGGGGGGGAAAGTCTGTGGAGGTGCCAAAAAAAAAAAAAAAAACAGATGTTATTTGAAAGAAATAAATGAGTTGGCTCCAAATTAGTCATATATAGATTTGATCTAGTGAAAACAATGAAACTTAAGTTCGTCATGACTTTTACATATCCATTGTAGTTCACTGGATCCATTCTGACTCAGTCTGGATAGAACTGTTTGAATTGGATCCAGTAAATGATTGGCTCCAGATTATTCATATTTACACTAGCTACATCAAAGTTAATGGGGATTATTTTACATGTTAAAAACTTATTCCCCTTGATTTCAATAGATCTGTCTAACTATGGCTATATCTAGATCAATTATTCTGTTAGTTGAACTAAGTTTCTATTGAAATAAATAGGAAATATCAATTTTGCCCCATGATTTTCATGGAGCCCAAATTCGGCTAACTCAGTTTGGAACCCATTAACTTATTGTGAATTTTTTTTGATCACCTAAATCCAGCCAGATTCTGGAGGTTTACAGAGTTTACATATTAAAAACAGGATACAAATAAGAATAAAATTATAATAAGCATAGAATATAATTATATGAAGCTCAGAAATTATAGACTTGTAAAAATTGGTGGTGCTAATATAATTAATCCCCAGATTATTATAATATGTATCAGGAAACATAAAAAAAATGCATTGGTAGCTAGTTTTCTCAAAAAGAATGGTCATATAATGCAACAGCAAAAAGTATTTTTCAATGACAGCAGGCAGATGCCTGAGCAATCTTCTGA